TGAAATTTGAAGTTTGCACCCATATTGATAGTCCATACACATCTAGATGTGTATAAGAGACAGCTCTCTCTTCTTGTCTGAAGCCTAGGCTACCTCCTGCCATGGCTACTTGGGGCATACCCTCAAGGACGTTTTCCACTGAATCTCATCAGATAACATCCAGGAGAGTGCTAGTGCGTGCATTCCCTTAAGCTCTGACATACACGGTGGCAGTGACTTGGAAGCTATTCATAACGGTCAAGAACAGTGACATCCAAGGTTGATATCTTTATGCCCAACTGTGCGCTCAGTATGAGGTATCTTGTGAAGTGCAATGTCAATTACGTGTATCACCAGGCGAGAAATGGCTCCCTTCCTCTCGAGTCTCCCTGGCAAAGCCCATCCTGGCCCTGGCCCTGGACCCGGATCTGGGGCCCAGGTCCCTGGATCTCGACCTACCTTTCTGCTGGACGTAACTTGGACCTGGTTGTGGAGCCCAGGTCTCTGAATCTGGTTCTGAACCCGAGGTCCCTGGACCTGGTTCTGGACTCCAGGTTCCCTGGACCTGGTTCTGGACCCCCAGGTCCTTGGACCAGGTTCTGCATCCAGTTCTGGACTTGGTTCTGGATCCCAGGTTCGTGGACCTGGCCCCTGACTCCAGGTCCCTAGACCTGTACGTCCAGCAGAGTGGTTTGTCCAGGTCCAGGACCAGGGACCTGAACCCCAGGTCCCTGGACCTGGTTCTGGACCACAGGTCCCTGGGAGATCTGAGTAGTTCATTTTCAAACTAGTAGTACTACTCAGACCTCCCTAACGTGGTTCACCCCTTCCTAACGTGGTTCAACCCTCCCCATGCCTCCGTTGGGCACCCCGGTAGTCGGTTTCTCTCCTTCGGCGGCCTTGTGTGCTTCTTTGTCGTCGTCGAACCAGCCCTTCAGCAGCAGCTTCAGCCATAGCTCGAGGACAAAACAGGACGAAACAGGAGGCAGCAGCAGGCAGCAGGAGGCAGCAGGAGGCAGCAGCAGGCCGCAGGAGGCAGCAGGAGGCAGCTCGAGCAGGCAGTGGGAGCGAGGCGGCATCGAAGTGCCAGTTCAGATGGGTTGCCACCAGCTCTCTCTCTCTCTCTCTCTCTCTCTCTCTCTCTCTCTCTCTCCTCCTCCTTTCT